GGCTCTGCATTGATCAGCCATGTAAGCCTCAAGCATGAGAAACCTCTTTTAAGTTTCACTCATTTGAAAGATGGGGATGATAATATCTGGTGTGTGTGTGCATGTGTGTGTGAGTGTGTGTGTGTGTGTGTGTGTGTGTGTGTGTGTGTGTGTGAAGGTTGAATGAGTTAATGTATGCCAAGTGCCTAGCAATGGCTGGTACTTAATAAATGTGAACTAACAATATTATTATTGTGCATAGCACAGAAATAAGAATACCTCAATAGGCACCACTAATTGCATTAATATTTTAACCCATCTATTTCCTTCCTTACTCCACTCTCCTTTTCTTGTTCTGCATTAAAATGAGTCCCTTTCGTGTCTTTTCATGTCACCACTTTCTTTCACTTTTGTATTTTTTTCATGTCCTAGGGGCTTCTGTCCTCTTAAACACAGAGTAAGAACCAAGTCATACCTCTCCATAGATGGAGAACAAATAGAGCCAATCATAGCTCTCTGCCTTGTGGCAGAACTGGCAGCAGCATGTAACATCAACATGCCACTTGCTATGAGCCAGGCCCTCTCTAATTTCATCTTCACAACTCCATGATAGGTGCTAATAGCCTTGTTATTTTGCTGATGAGGAAACTAAGGCACAAAGTACTAACGTATCCATGATCACACAGCTTCACGGTCAGGATTTCAACCCAGGTAGTCTGGCTCCAGAATTTATGCTCTTAACCATTCCTCTCTAGTGCCCTTCTGGAGGAATTAGGAACTAGCTAACTGTAATGCAGTACAGTGACACTTAGGCCCCCAGAATTTGCTCTACACCAGGAGATCAGAGGCAGAGTGATTTTTCAACATTCGCAGGTCAAGCCCTGATGTGCCCATGACTAACAAACGTGTCGTTCCATCTGGCTTCCTCTGACTCAGGTACAATGAAGTGCCCTGGTTGAATGACCTTAAAGGGTGTGTTGTTGCCTTTGGTGTTTTCTGTTCAACCTTCAGCCATTCTAAAAGGCTCTCATGTTTTCTTTTTTGTTCTTATAGCTGTTGCATGTGTTTTAATCATTTTTTGACAACTGGATTTTTTTTTGACTGACATTTGGACTTTGCCTTAAATCATATTCAGAAAGACACAGGTGCTCTAGTAATTCATTTCTGCTGAACCGAAAAGCCTTTGGGGAAGGATGTTTGAGAGAAATTTTGTCAACACAAAAAGATTAGTAAGGAATTTTGAGTTAATCTTCCCCCTGGAATTTATGGCGCTCTGACTTAGCAGGAATCTTTGCTAATGTGTGAGGGCGGAGGCACATGGTGGCTTCAGTCACAAAAACACAGATTTTCTGTACAAATAACAGCAGGAACCACGATTTATGCCTCATTATTTTATTGCGTTGTCCTCAGACATGAGTGCCCTTACATTAATCAAGGGCAACATTTGTTTCACTTGTACTTTAGGTTCTGGCTTCTATAGAGCTGGGACTTATATACACTTGGAATTTGTTGGCTAGAATTTTAGAGCAGATGGACATGCTTTTTTTTCCCCTATAGGAAACTTGCTTGGTTGTCTGTCTTCTAGTTCTCATGGTAACCAAAGAAAACTGTTAACATTTTTTTTTCTCACAAAGTAAAATCAGCAGAGCTGTCAGAACAGGTGCAGCTGTTTGATGAGGGCCTGACCTTTTGTCATATTTTCTAGTTTGTGTTATTGGATTCTTATTATACTTGTACCTTATTTTTAGTGACAGAGAGTAAGAAGAAGAAGGCAGAATGAATCCCTGTTGCATATAGCCTATTTAATAATTTTTCATTGCTATAAGAAAATTAAAATTTCCCTGCAATATCACATCTTTGGTAATAAAGCCCAATATTAATACTCAGATGAAAGCATTTCCTTTCAATAGGGGGGATATACCTGGGAGCATCATAGGTAACCTTCACATGTTACAAATTTATCATCTCAGGATTTCTGGGGGGAAAATCATTTTGTTGTCCGCCAATAGATGAGATATGGAAGCAGAGGCATTTAAGAAGGTCTGGCTAGGGTGCCAACCAAGGATTAAATGTGAACTTTTATTAGTTGTATATTTACAGTGTGTTCACCATTATTCCTTGAAATGACACTGAATGGGTGAGCACAGATCCAAGGAAGAGCTACTAATAGTTCTGCAGACATAAGCATGTAAAGTTGTAGGATCCTGAGAGTCTGCAAATAAACATGTTCAATTATTGGGAACTAAATAAAAAGAAAAATCAAGAGTTCACAGGCAAATCTCTCAATCTGATTATATTATCCTCCTCTGTCTGGTGACTACATGGTGGTATGTAGTTACTAAGCACAGTGACTAGGCACAGCTGGAGAATCGCAGTTGATGACATATGGCTGTAAAGTAGTTAATGTTATGGATAATCTTAGAAGGGAATGGTCATTTGCAATAATAGAATTCTTGGTATATGCAAGCCCATTTTCAGATTGGAAGTTTCCATTTATGGATTATCTACCATAGTCACAATCTTTTTATTGTTGTTCTGGATAATCTTGCAACTTTCTTTGTTAAGAGAAAATAATTGTGTTATAAATTTGTGAGGGAAATTAGATTTTTGTCCTCAAATCAAATACTGGTAAGGCAGGACCAAACAGCAAGAAAGAAATATACTGGTATCTGTTCTCCATGGTTGTCTGAAATACTGAAGGTGATGTTGGATGAGCTGTTTCCAAGGTGACTTTGATGAGACACATGCTTTCCATGAATCTGGGGAATATTAGTTAAACTCACTTTACTGATTTTCCATTCTATATGAGCTCTTGTAATAAGTTATAAGATTTATGATAATAACGATGCAGGACTGTCACCATGAGTTTGTACATCAAATTGGAATGGAATTTTTGACCAGGTAATTATGATGATGGGTTGTAGATATTGGCAGACAATTGCTATCATTTTATGTTGTTTTAGGAGTTTGCTTACTCCTAGTTTCAAGATTAATACAGAGAGATACAATGACACAATTATTATAAGGTTAAGCTTTGGAATCAGACAACCTTGAATCCAAATTCTGATTCTCTGACTCATTAGTTGTATGATTCGGGGCAAATACTTAACTTCTTTAAGCCTTGAGTCATGTATAAAAAAGGGCAGAAGTTGTACTCCTTTCAGAAGGTTTTTATGAGCATTTGCGATGTAATCCAAGTAAAGTGCTTGGTACATTGCCTGGTTGATAGTGAGCACTCAATAAATGTTGACTAAAACTACTACAATGAAGAGAGTTTGAATTTAGCTCATTTGGTATTTTCTTCTTTCAGTGTTGGTGTTAAAGAAAAAATTATTAAGAGTCTTGTTAAATAAAGTATAGAATACTTTATTTAAGAAGGGGACTGCTATATGGGGCAGAAAACTCTGAATAAAATAAGGACAAATGGGATATATAGCCCAAAAGTGATGGAGCCAGTGAATGGAAAATTACCAAGAGCAAATCTCAAGTCCAGGTGGATTTTTGCTTGGTTGAATGCAGGCCAGAATGACTAGATAGCAAGAGTTGGGGATGAGGAATGAGATCGGATATTAAGGATGGGGAGATTTTTACTAAACTGACCCCACATGATTTTTGTGAAAACTGGACCAAGCTGGCCAGGGACAGAGTCTAAGATTGGGGCCCAGTCAAGAGGAGGTCTCCTTGGTCAATGAAGAGCGTTTTTTGATCACTGGTGTAAAGGATTATGTCTATATAGGATTAAATATCAACCAATATTTAATGTGCTTTATGGGTACCATTGTTTCACTTAACTCACGTTATGAGAATCTAAAGGATAGGAACTATGAGTCTCGATTTTACACACAAGGAAATTGAAATTTGGAATGGTGAAGGAATTTTTGCAAGATTACCTGGGTGGATTGATAAAGCTGGCATCTGAATCTAGAGTTTTCTGATTCCACAAACCAGCATTGGTGGGCATTGTTCCATCCTGAGCACATGTGGCTATGTGGATAGAACTAATTTAACCTCAAATACTTAGCCAATATCTATACTGAATTAATATCTGTGAGAAAGGAAAATTGTAATTGTTCTCATACAAGTTAAGAGGAATTACAAATGCCACAAAAATTAATTTGTGATACCAAAGTCAAGGACTAGACCATTCTTCAACCTCATTACCCTTAGCACTAGAATGTCTCGAATCATGAGGTTTTTTTGGGGCAGTCTCCTTGAAATTAGAAAAAGATGAGAATGTGTTGGGAGATATGACTCGTACTGTGAGTGTGTGTGCATGTGCAAGCACATAAAAACATGGCAAATAGACATTGTCCATGTAAGGAAATCTGTTAATCAGAAGTCAATCTGTGTGTATCCCCTCTGTGGTGTCTGTGGATAAATATTTATCCTTTCAGCAGCCATTTTCTCTTCTTTTGCAGAATTCCTTGCTCACTTGCAGGGGCACCATTTTAGGAAATGTGATCTGATGTAGCATTATATGTATAGCAAAGAACTGTAGAATTAATGTTGTAAAACAGACACAAGACACAGTTTTCAAGATGGGTTCCAATATGTGTTTCTTCCAGAGTTAGGGTCCAATCTCTAACACTATTTTAATTTATTTTTAAATTTGATGTTAAGACAGAACTGTGAAGGATGGTTGCATTTTCCTTGGCCAAGTGTACTTTACTTAATCCAAGATTCTTCTTGGATAATTTTTGTCTTTGTTGTAACAAAGAAGAAACAAAATAATGTCTGAATTCCAAGGAAGTCACAGAAGAATGCTTTAGGGAGAGCTCGGAAATCCTCACAGGGAGTTACGAGTCTATGATAACTTTGGTTCTCAAGGATTCTCCCAATATTTGATATAGAACCTGATTTACAGTAGATACTCAGTCCATGTTTATTTGATGAATGAATGAATTGTTGCCATAACTAAAATGTCCCTGAGCCTGGACTGGACTATGACAGGAGAAAGCTTTGATTTTCTTTTGGGTTGGTTAACGGAGTCACACTGAATATACATAAAAAGCCATAAAAAGTGAGTGACTAATATACAAACATTTATATTTCAGTGTTAGGAAATATGGTAAGATTAGGAAAACAGTTAAGACAATGACTTGTACAGAATTAATAGTTCAAGCAATGAACATTTCGTGGATTACAGTTTAACAAGTTAAACATCACATAACATACATGTATGACAGACAGTGCTTCTGATTTTGATATTAACATACCATTGATTATACACATGAGAAATATTGCCATTTCAATTTGGGATTGTGAAATATATAATTTTTTTGCTAAGACATTTCAAATTACAACATATCCCAGGCAGCATGCAGGAAAAGTCATTTATTGTACATTTATTAGGACATACCTTGTAGTAAGCTTCCAGTTTTTGGTAGTTAGATTAAGAATATAGAAACCACTGAAGTGATAATGTGGTTGAAATCAGCAGTTGTATTTACTGACTGAGAGAGAGAGAGCATTTTTGGTAAAAAATAAAACTCTCAAAATTAATTCATTAGGAAAATGCACAGTGATCATAAACTCAATTCTTTAAAAATTGTTTTTCACAAGTAATTCTCATTTATTGGTGATACAGCAGCTGCAAGAAATCTGAATTCTGAGAGCTGGTTGTACAGAACAGCAGGAATTGATTCCTCTGTGGGCTCACATGATTACAACAAAGATGCTTCCCATTTGAAATCACATATTATAACAATGGTGCTATACAAACATCACAAATATTTGGTGTTTCAGAACTTAACAAATATTATGTTGTGGTTATTTCACAAAGAGACTAGATTAACAGGCAGTGTAAATCACATAGTTCTTAAGATTTTAAAAATACATTTTATACAATTGGCTTCTAATTTCTTACTAACATTTCATTTTGGTGTTTTTTTTTGTTTTGTTTTGTTTTGTTTTGTTTTTCTCTTTTGGTCTCATACATAGAGTCTTTAAAGAAACCATGAATATCTGGCTCATGCCAAGAAAGTCAATAAGATTGATGTTTTCCTAAAGGAATATGGCTGAGTTACGTTGAACCACATGGTCAATAAAGCAACATCGAACTTAGATTATTTTAAAAATGTAAATCAAATCTAATTATTTTAAAAGCAATTTGAACAAAACTATAAGAATCAAAAATTTTATTTACAAAACATCTGAATATAGTTTTTAAATGGCTAGGTCTTGCTAACTGCACACATTAAATGTCCTTGGTGTACATGGTCTGTTAGCCTCCCATCAACATTGTTAGCCCTCTGAGCTAACGTATGAGGTGGTTAAGAAGGAAAATGATTTGATGGTAATCTTGATTTGCTCAAGATACTTTAAAAGGAATGTATTTAATGTCTTCCATGTTAGACAAGATCTGTCAGTAATGTTGGTGCCTTTCATTTGAAAAGATTAGCTAAAATGCCCAAATGTAATTTAGCACAGTGGGAGAATTATAGGAAAATTATATTTTCTTTATGAAGTGCCTGGTAAATTTACCATCGGATGTTGGGTCAACTGCATAAAACTAGACAAGAACCCCAAGTCCTCTAAATCTCATTTCCAAGGTGTCTGTGTATTACCCTGGATTAAAAATATTTTCCTTGGTCCTTAGAAATACAAAATACTGATTTTTTTTTCAAAAGATAGAGGATGATAGAGTCGAGCATTTCTTACAATCACATTCATAACGAAAGCAGTTAATCTACATTTTACAGATCATTAAACAATTGTCTTTGGCAGAAGACTTTGTAAATAACTTCCCCCACTTTAACATTTCATGGAGGCCATTTCCCTTTTGGATGAAACCAACTGAATGCTCACTTGTTCACTGTTATAGGTTAATAGGAAAACACCACAGATATAAAAATATGTAAGTGTAGCACACATTCTTTTTGAAAATTATATTCAGCATGTATTGGTTCACTGATACTGGAAAAGAAACTATACACACACATTTCTAACAGTGTTGCTTAAGATCATAATTTTAACAATATGGTCAGCAAATACCTTAGAAATTTTTGTTCCCCACAAAATGTTAACACTGAAACACACTAAAAGGATCCACTGAAATATTTTTTATTATTTTACATGTGTTTTTCACAAAATGAGTAATATATGATGCATATGCCTTTACGTGTGTGTGTGTGTGTGTGTGTGTGTGTGTGTGTGTGTATGCTTAAAATGGTGAATGTTAGAGATTACATTCATTGGCATGAAAGCATAAAAACTGAAAAACTCAGTTAAGAATCCCAATGTATCACTGACACACCACTACTCGGGAATTTCAAAGTACGGTGAAGTTATTTAGAAAGTAGCTTTAGACATGTGAACATCAAGATGAGGGACATTAGAAATGCTAACTTCATTTTTTCAAGGAACATCTCCTCTCCATTTTGAACTCTCTTCTTTCCATTCTTTCTGTCTCTGTCTTTGAAGGTCATTTGTGATGGCTCCTTTAAACTGTGCACACAGGATGTGAACAGACTGTTCTTTTGGGTATGTGTGTCCAGTGCAGGAAATTCATTATCACCTCTTAGGCAGAGGGGGATTCTGGCACAGTGATCGGCCACCCTTTTCTTTATTATGAAATGTCTGTTGTGCTGGCTCAGAATGAGTTCAGTTTACTATCAAAAGTGTCCATCAAGCTTATTCAGTGGGAACAGGTCGCCATCATAACCATGAAAGGTGAGAAAGTCAAAATATGTTTTCTACCTGAATTCTTTCTTCTCCCCTGCCCCCACAGAACACCCACAGTGATACAGAGCAGTGTTGAGTGCAGCTATACGGTGTGTACAGTATGCTAGTTCCTTCTCTTGCATTTGTCTAGGAAGCTACAAATGTCTCCTCAATGTAAGCTTCCTGCTGTCTACAATGAATCAATGGAACCCAGGGAAGTCCCTGTTGCATTAACAGTTGTGCCAACTATTATTATTATGGCTTATTAGAAAAGTGTTGAATTGCACCACTGACATATGAAAATCACCATGAAGGGCTCTGAAAGGCAAAGCTGTTGGGAGATCAAAAATAATCACCTGTTACCTTCACCATCAAGACATTTTCAGTGTACCATCAATAAGGGTAGATAAGCTTTCTGAAATTGTGGGCTGTAACTTTGCCTTGGGCTTGAGAGTATAAAACAACTCACTGTGGACCACAAAGTTCTGGAAGGAGGTCAAGGCTCTGTATCTGAATCCTAGTCAATCTCATCCAGCCCCTCCCCCTGCAAAGGTGTACTTCCATCGCCAAAGCACCTTGCCATTGGTGATTGTTCTAAGCTTCTTCTTAGGGAGGCGTTAACATTGAGTGAAAGAGCATGCAAATGGAGATGGACACATGGTGGAGGCAGAGGAAGGAGGGACTGTGCTTTTGCAGGAGCTATTTGGTGAGCAGGGGTGTCAGAGAAAAATAGAACAATGCCGGGAAAGCCAATGAGGAAATGCTCTCAGAAACAGGAAACAGACACCCCAGCGCTCCAACTTTGACCAGTAGCAGGAAAGGAACACAGACTCTATAGAAAGGCAGGTGGAACATATTATGGTACAATTATGGTTATTCTTTTCTAGTAATCCCTGAAAACGAGCAGTCATTCTACAATATCTAACAAGGTTGGTTCCTTCTAAGGGAGACGTAGAGGTACAGTTTTAGCATTTTTCTCCAGGACTTTGTTATTGAGCTTCCTCTTTAGGCCTCTTTTTGCGAACTCTGAATTAGGAAGCATGAAAATACATAGAGATATTTTAAGTACCTGTACATGTGATATTTTCAGGTTAGATTTAAGGAAGCAAGTGCACACACACATAACACAGTCTTAAATGCCCTTTCCTAAGCCATTTGTGTAAGTCAAGTCACTTACTGGTTCTCTTCTCTCGTTCTGTACCAATTTCAAATGAACCTCAACAGGGCTCCCAGAGGTCTTGGGATGGATATCTACATTGTCTGTGGTTTCCAGATTCCATAAGCCATGGGAACTTTTGAAATTATCCTCTAAAACCAGTACTCATTTTAGCTCAGTCAGTCCGTACCCACTCTTCAAACCAGGGTAATGAAGAGAACTAAGTGCTGCCACACAATGGTTTAGCGTTAAGGCAAATGCTCCAGAGTAATCAATTAAGAGAAAGGTTTCCAAAGTCATGTCCTGTTGGTTTTTAAAAAGAACTAGACATTCTGATTGAAATCTGTCTGATTGGAGAGCCCGTCTTTTATCCAGTAAGAAATATTTGTAAGGATTAATTTTCCTTCAAATTATATTGTCAGCCCAAATGCTGGGCATTTCTGTCCATAAATCAAAATGTGTTGGGCCTAGATGGAACCTTCCATTTAAACTTTTAAGTGTTTCCTGTGAAGAAGCAGAATTAAACTGTGGGTGACATGAGTCTATCTTGACCACTTCAGAGCACTGGTTAGTTCTTAAACTTGAACATACACCAGAATCATTCCAAGGGCTTGTTAAAACCCACACTGCTGGACCCACTCCCAGAATTTCTGATTCATGGGGTCAGGGCTGAGCCTCAGGTGCAAGCAGAAAATTTGCATATTACCATATTTCACAGTTGTTGTTGATGCTGCTTTGCCAGGGACCGTGAATTAAGAATCCTTTTAGTACCTTATAAATCACCCAGGTCAGAACTTTTCTGTGTAGAATGTGAAAGTCAGTATTAGGTTTCCCCTCCCCATGGTCTTATCATGTAGATAATTCAATTGGTGCTAGTTTAATTATAGAGAATCTAGAGGTTCAGAAGTCTAAGTATCCTATCAACACATATAGCAAACCTGTAAGTGAAATATGACTCCAACTCATGCTCCAACCTTGACCTTCCTCTGAGGGGAATATGATTTTTTTTGTTATTCAACTTGAGTCCTTCTAAAGCTATTGGTGGAAGACTGCACAGCAAGCATATCAATCCTGTGGTCCTTGTTAGCCTTTGAGTTTGACATTCTTGCTGGACAGCTACTCCTTCAGAGTATTATTTTATAATGATACCATTGAACTTCTCTCTTGCTTCAAAGGGTGATATCCTTCCTATTACCCCAGGATAGTCCATAGCCGTATTTGTCCAGTTTCCTCACTTAACACAGACAAAGGTTTGTTGAGATTTTTCTAGTAAAACCCCTTTTAAAGTACCTCAGAGGCAAGAACCTACTACATCAAGGGCAAGAACATCAAGGGCAATGTACAACATTCACTTGAGGAGGAATTAGGTTGAACAAGCTGTCAGTACATGCCTTGCGGTTAGAGATTGCTATTTGTGTGGTTGAGCAAACAAAGAGCAGGTGGGATTGGCACAGGAGTTGAGGAAAAGGAGGGATGAGTTTGTGTGAACGAGCAACAGCCTGCGCAGAAGACAGGCTCTGTCTGGCCATGGGTTCTTTGCCTTAAACCAGCACTTCTGGATGATTGACAACGACCAGGATGGCTTAAGGCATTCATCTCTAGAAAACGCTATGGTGCTGATTTGTTGGTTTTTTTTTTTTAAAAAGGACAGAAAAACTACCTCTCCAATTTAGCATTTCCTATTTAAATATGAAATGGGGCTCCAATTCAAAATGAAGGAACTTATTGAAATATATAATGATGATGCCCACCGCAACTAAATAGCAGTTCTATATAAAGATTTATGAGAGGAGGAAAAGTCATTTTATCCTTATATAGAAGTCATAGAAATTATGATAGTTATAATAAAAATATCTATTTTAATGTTATCTCTCAAGAGGGAAGCTCCCAAGATCACTTTATTTGTTGTAATGCTGGGACTTTTTGTTTACCTTTCCCCCTGACAAATTTGGCTTTGTGCCTCAGAGCTCATAAAACTGGAATGTTTCACTGCTGAGATGTTGAAATGGTTTGGCCATTTTCAATGACATCCTAACTGGGATTCCTTCATAAGAAAGCTTACATTTGTTCCACTAAAACATTCTTTGTTTATAGAAGCAGAGTTCAACATGGTTGCTTTTGTGTTTTCTTTCCTTTTGCCATGGCAATATCTCCATCCTCTCGGTCATTTCTGCGACTGTGTGCAATTTCAGATCGCTAATGGGGCATCTGGCCTGTGGTAAACCAGATGATTGCTAGGGCTGGGGTTTAAGTCTTTTTGTGAAATCTTTTTGAGTAGTAGTCACTTTCTCCATAACAGGGGAAGTGTTTAAAAGACAGCTGAATCGATAGCAATGCAACTCTCTTTCCATCTTCCCTTAGAATGCTTGTAGCTTTAAACGTCTTTCTGCCCTGTCCTTTCTGCACATCCTGTTTGCATTCACACACTTTTAACTGCTGCGCTTTTCTGTCGGCCTCTTTCTCCTAAATTATTGTCATTAAGAACAAAGAGTGGAAAAGAAGAGGATTTCTCCTGGGAAACTGTGTGAAGTTCAACTCATTTAGAAGAATGGCGGTCTTAGCTTTATGGAGGTCGCTGATAGGGAACCCATTCCAAGCTTATTAAATGTGCTATTGTGGGCAACCCCCAAAGGGAGAAACTTCAATTCCTTTAGTGGAGGGCATATTATTATTTTTTTTGACTGCAGCACACAAAGCATTTATTTAAGCAAAACAAATCTTTAAATTCCTGCCAGACTTAGTGTGGTTGCATTGGCTTGATATTTGCACTGGTAATGAAGTGCTATAAAAGAAGGACTGGCTCACCACATAAAGCACCTTCAAGCCATACCCAGTGGATGATAACAGGGAGCCACGGATCATGCAAGGCCCAGTGGGTGCCGGAAAACGCAGCGACAGGCGATGTCTCTCCGTGTAATGACGAGCGAATTCAAGTCTAGCAAGAGCTAAAGACTCAACCCCCTAAAGCAATAACATATTGATTTTTTCACAAGAGGAAAGACTTAGGGTCTCCTCTCTGGTGACTCTTGGAGGTTAAAATGAAAAGAACACTGTATACCTCCACACTGGGATTGAGGCCGCTTCCTCCAGTGGGCTGTTAAACCCATGGCTTAATTTATCTCATTGGTGAAAGGCAGAATGTGAAGTTCTGGAAATTTCTATTTCTACTAAAAGCAAATTACTTGGTAGGTTTAAGAATGGCTCCATGAAGCAGTCTCGGATTGATAAAATGTCTCTAGACCAAAAATGGGAGGTTAATTTAATTAGCGTATCATAACCAGCCACTTCCTGACTAAATTCAGGGCTAGTGTTAGTTTTCTTGAAATTACTTTTGTCTTGAATCCCTAATGCTATCCTAGGGTGCCTGGTTTAATACTCTGCACAAAGTAAATGTTTGAGGTTTACAAAATTGGATGATTGAAAAAAAATGCAATAAACTCTCACACTTGATTTAAAAATTGCTCCACTGCCTTGACTGTGTAGATGTTTTTACAAGTTTTAATTGCATATAAAGTGAGTCAATGATCCTGGCAGACAGACTTGCTAAATTGACTAATTTTCAGCCCTCTTTGGTTGAACTTCTTTCAGGCTAATTTTCAAGTTGATGTTTATCTAGCTCCAGTATCCAGACCTGAACTTTAATTGATGAGCCCTGTCCAAACACTTTCAGCCCTTATGGATTTGCAGAGACTGTGCAGGAAGGTGAAGTGGCTTTTAAGGTCTTGCCTGCAAAGCAATGTCTGACTTTTGATTGATAGTTGGAGATATTTACTCAACTCTTTTTCCTGAGTTACTGTCACTTTAAAAAAAAAGGGGGGGGGAGGAGTACAGTGTTAATATGGAGACAATCAGAATGGTCTGTGTTACAAAGCTTTTGGAGCAACCAATGAGATACCTGTCCATTTCTCTTGTCTTCTTTTCCATAACAAGCTCTGGAATGGCTGTTTCTCCTGGGAGAATTAGAGGACAGATGGTGGAGCTTGGGCTATGGCAGTGTTCTACCACTGAATGAGGGCAAGGAAGTGTTCCCCATGGAACCAGGACAGATACACACTCACAGGGAAGAGCAGAGCATTGAGAGATCTTGTCAGAAGCCCTGTCCTCTGTAACCCAGGAAACTGTGCTGAACCCTCTTCATTTTTTCCAACGTTAAGAAGTACTTTGTCTGTTGCTTTAAAGAGGCCCAAACCAATTCTGGTTTCTTCACAAGACAAATCATGTCTTTGGGTAAAGTCGTTCTAGTACTACCTGTGGATCTCATTTCAGTCAGTGGAAGCTTCAAGCTTTGAAGAGAGTATGGATTGATTTAAAACGGCGACAAAGCAATTATTTTCAATTTATTAAGGAAATCTCTTTTAGAACTGGAGTATCAGAGCATTGTCCAAGAAGGAAAAAAAAATCCAAGTGTATATTTCTTGCTAGATCCAACCCACTTGGCTATGCTGCTTTCTCAGTGTTTTCAAAAACTGGTTCCATGGCAACCAGTTTGAAGATTCACTCTCCATGCAGGCAATAGCATGTGATTGAGCTGAAAGACTCTGTTTGGAAAGGTTTGAATCAAACAAAATAGCCTTGCTCAGAGCCAAAAAAAAAAAAAAAATGACTATAGGTGATATTCATATCAAGTGGGGGGGGGGGGGGAGACTTCTGGTATTGTTCCCATGTTCACAGACCATAGCTATCAGAGTGCGCAAGGGTGATGGTCTGGCTTGAGACCTAAGGTTGGCCCCATCTATTTTGTTTAGTTCTTGACCCTATCTATTAATTGAATGAATCATGATCTGTCTCCCTTGGGTGACTGCTTGCTTGCTTCTAGGTACTGCATGAATGGAATGGGGGAAGGGCAGTGTTGAGCACTGTTGTTAGGACATCCCATACTTCAATAACCCACTTGCATTTTCTTTATAGCTTTCAAAATTGCATTTTTTTTTGCTTCAGTTTGGTATTTAAATCATCTCTCTTTAGTTTGCACTTAAAGTTTAAAAGTTTAAACACCTTTTTTAAGTTGATGAGCAGAGAGGATAACTCTTTTCCTTTTGGCTTTCTCTCACCATCTGCAGTAGCTTCTGCAAGATGTGCACAGGGATTAAGTCAAAAGCAGGAAAAGGGGACTAGAGGCAGAGTTGCTGATGCTCATCGCTTCTACTGAGTCTTCTGCTTGTAGCTTCTATGGGTGCTAGACTCACTTCTCGACAAAATGAGCCAGTTGTTGGGAAAATTCCCAATCCATCTGCTGAGAAAGCTCTTTTTTTATTTTTTTTTAAAGTTAATCTATGCAGAATCTCAGAGAACAACCTGAGATTATCCAGAATATTTTAATAAGTGTATATTAACTGTAGCATCATTGGTTCCAAAGAAATATAGTTTCAAATTTCCTATAAGATTACCGATGACAGCAAAAACCTGTTCTTAGTTTTAGACTGAGACAGCAAAGAAATATTTTCTTGCACATTTTAATAGTTTTAGCTAATAAAAAAAACCCTTTGCTTTTCCGTGATGTTATCCTGCGCTTAGATCCAATACTAGAACATTTTTTATGAAATTGCAATAAAATAAAGTCCATTTTTTCAATAGTAAGTGTCCTAAGTGGGGTCCAATATGTAATGAGGCAGTTGGTTCAACAGGCTTAAGTGACTTGGCTTCAACCCCTCTCTACCCGCTCTTCATTCCTTGCCTTGGAGGAATCTCAGATACTAAATGGTTGAAAGGGGTAGTTTGCTTGTTTGCAAAATCTTGGCAGTTAAGTTGGTTCCGTTGAAAATATCCAAGCTAAACTACAACTAGTGGTGGTAGATGATCAGGTATTTTGGCGAAACTGGGTGGGACTCCTATTCCTTTTTTCCCAACATGCAAAATATATTTTTAGATAATGTTAGCTGATGTATGGGAGCTGGCCTGCTTGGTGCTGTTTCCATGGAAAAGACAAAATCTTATCCTTTTAATCCCCCATGATTTGACTGGAGAGGATATTTCCAACACCTTTGAAAAGACAGATAGGTAATTGGAAAAGTCAGAAAGGAGCCCTAATTGGTCCTAAAAACTTTCTATCAGAAATGCTTGCTAAATGAAGGAAAGAAAAATGAATTTCTTTCTCTTTAAAAGTTACTTATCTATTCTAGAAGGCTATCTCTAATGAACAGTATTCTAAGTAGTTTCAAACAACTTCGTATTTGCATCTTTTGCTAAAAAGAAAAATTCAGGAATGTGTTTTCGTCTCTCTTTTTCCATCTAAAAAAGAGATCTGATAAAAAGGAACAGTAACCTAACATGGGCTTTTAGGGCTGTCCTAGACACTCAAAAATGCAATTCTACAATAGTTACTTGACATACATTGCCTATTTTTGTATTTATGTTTGTATCTCCATGCTTGAGGGAGGGTGGGTTAGAGAAGATTTAATGCTGAAAACCTGGCTGAATCTCATAGAAATAATCTTCAAAGAAGCATTTCAAATCTTTTTTGTTGTTAGTTTTTACACCGGCTGAAGTGGCCATGTTTGGTAGAAGTTAGAAAACAATAGTTCTACTTGCTCTGAATGAAAAGGCTAGTGTTTCAGAAGCATTTTAGTTACTGATAGGTCTGTCTGGGATTTATTGTTTATTTGAGCCAGTCTCAAGCTCAATATCCCATCTTATGTATTATTTTAAATATATAAACAATAACATCAAAAATGGAATTAGCCATGTCCTGGCATCTCAGTTGGTTAGAGCATCATCCCAATATGCCAAGGTTACAGGTTTGATTCCTGATCAGGGCAAGTGCAGGAATCAAACAATGTGCATAAATAAGTGGAATAACAAATCAATGTTTCTCTCTCCTCTCTTTCCCTATCTTTCTAAAATCAATTAAAAGTGAAATCAGCTATTTATAAATGAAACTGTCAAGGTATTAAGTTATGAAATTTAGAAACTTCATGGCTTAAAAATTATTGAAGGCATTTTTATGAGGTCTGGTATATTTCACAAAATAACTTAGTAATATGAAAAAGTACATCAAAAGCACAGTTTTGGTTTTGGCAATAACAACAAAAAATTATGTAAACCCAGCTTAGTTTTTAATGTAAAAATCAGAGAATAAAAGTTTATGTTTTACTGTGTTGGTAGAAACTGGGACTCCATATTCCTTAATGGGAATGACTTTTAAGTATCTTAGACAAGGATATTCTGTGATGAGACACTGATGCATTTTCTTTTTGCTAATTCTCTCATTTTTAAATATGTTCTTGATAAACGCATAGATAATTCTCACTCAAATCAAACACATACTAGATAATTCTCACCCAAATCATTATTTTACCATATTACTCAATTACATGAGCATTATGAGAATGTGAAATCTTGAAATATTTCTACTTGGGAGTATTTCCAAAGTTTAGTGTTAAGATGAGTATAAAAAGGTAGAAAGGAAACTATAGAGAAATTTATTTTCATCAAAACTAGACATGTGGGTCATATAACTTTTAAATATTTATGTAACTTACATAGTTTCTTTTTTAGGTGAAATATTTTGAAAAGTGGTTATATATTTAGTTATTTAATAGAATCGTTCCTTTCCACTTGGAAAGAATGGGAACTTCACATTAGAACATGGGTCATTGTAATCACATTTTTAGGAAAATCTCATTAGAGAATTTATCTATTGTCCTATCATGTGGCTTCCAGGGGCCTAATATAGTAATATTGTAATAACTATGTAAGGTGCCAGTTGGGCACTGGAAGTATCAGGGGGAACTTTTTTTAAAGTATATGATTATCTAACCATTGTGCTGTGCACCTAATACAAAATAATTTGAATATATGAACAGTTGTTTACAAGTAATTTTAACAACTGAAAATACTTCTGTAAATTAAAAGTGGGTTGTTCCAACTTGGGAATATAAGGAAAAGGTCTTGGAAAATCTTCTAGGTGAATAAATAATTTCTAATACAGAGGGGCTATAAATCAATTTTCCCCAATAAACTCTTAAATTTGGCTCCATGGCTTTGTCTGTTGTCCACAAAGGAAGAGTGCTAGGCTCTACATTAATTGTCAGAATTGACTCAGTAACATTGAAGGTCACCAATTTCTCTTTTGGTATGTTTGATTATCAATGTGAATTTTCCTCTTTGGTATATAGAGAAGTGTTTGATCCACTCCTATTTCTTGGAATCATTTTTTTTTTCTGTGTTTACTTCATTTTTGAAGATGTACGTGAGGGTCCTTATCCCCAATCCATACCCACATATATTGATAGAAATGGCGAGATAGATGGCCTGAAACATGGGGAAATGTTGGCTTTATTCTTTGCAGCAATCAGTTGTAGTGTGTAGCTGTAGAGTATACTCAGTCACTAGATCATAGCATATTATTTCTATAAATGACAGTTTTCTAGGTGGAATGTCACTATATTGAATTTTTCCTGTGACAGATTCACTCAGAAAAACATGTCCATGGACTTTTCCCCATTGTTGAGAGGTAAGAGTGAGCATTAGTAAGGATAATGAATATAATGCAAGCAGCTATTGAAAATTTACAAAGGTCGGAAACAGGGAAAAGAAAGATTAAGATTGCATATTCCCCAGGGGACACTTCTTTGGATCTTTGGAAAAGGACAGGACTGCATGATTCCAAAAAAACGTGAAGAGGTTAAGCATCTGTGAAGCACAGCAATGATTACATACAGATAGACTAGGCGATTCTGGGCAGTCAAGCCTTCCTGCAAAGACAGATTTAACTAAACAGTCAGATTGCTGTTTGAAGTAATGATTTTTCCTAAAATTAATAAAATAATTTATGCAATGACCACTGATTTAAATGTTCCATAAGAAGGGATTTGTAAATCAGAGGCCCTTTGACCAACCTGAAAACTGGGAGAGCCTCTGAGAGCACCTTTTCTGACATTGTGGCAGGCAGGGAAGAAGTCACAGAAAGCTAGATACTCACCATGGCTGTTGGCTGGAAAGCAGGCACACTCTGTCCCTCGGGAAACCCACCTCTCAGTGGTTGCTCCTTCTATAGATAACGTTCTCTGCTTCGGGAGGTGATTAACGATGGCCTAATTAAGTGCCAAAAATGAAATATCTACCTTACAATTGTTTCACCTTCTTGTGTTATCCTTGCTGGTAAAAATAGGACCAAAAGGACCACTCTACACTTGAAATCTGGTGGGTGGAAGACAGTGAATGTGGACAGAAGTGATGAGGACATAATGCTTAAAAGGAGCAGAAGTGCAATCCATTACCCCAAATTTGTAGGTAGATGAGAATGAAAGCCGATGAAGCCACTCATAACATCTTTCTTTTTCTGTAAGATGAGCATGATTTTAGGCATACATACTTTACTCCTTTACCAATTAAAGTAGATTTTTACCAATGGCAAGAATGCTTTGACCCAGTGAAGTGATTACTACAACAATTGGGGAAGCAACTAGTTACACATTTCTGGTGATCAATTTTATTGGGATTGATTGATTTGATATAATGCTCCATATCTAAAAAAAGATCTGATGTATAACTGTTTGGGAGCTTATGTTCTTAGATGCCAAACGGATGTAGATAAAATGGTACTAACTAATGTAAGAAAACAATTAGTGAAATGGAAAATTGTCTAGCATTTATCTCAACACTGTCCAACAATATTCTGATGCTGTGCTCTCTTGGGAGGTTAAAAAGGAAACACTGAATAACCAAAGAGTTGACATTTGCAAGAATTGAACACTAGTATATCTATTTTCTTTCATTTGGATGAGGATACCACTTGCACAATAATACCTTTTGGGTTTTTATTTCTTTAAAACATGAAAACAAAAAAATGAAGTAGATGACAATGAGAAGGCAAACATTCCATACAGAATATGCTGTATAACTAGTGATTAAGTCAGAATTAGAAACTTTATTTCTCTGTGTCAATAACGTGTACCATGTATAAGGAACAGCACAATGAGTGCGTTTTCCCCTAAAGCTGTGCACAATACACACAAAATAAAATAATCAAACAAAATAAGATAATTTTACACAACTATAATTATTAATGAACCCTGAACAACCAGCATCATATCCCTAAAACATAAAAATTTAAAAAGCAAACAAACCCAAAAGCTTTGAGATTGACTAATGGCAAGAATTTCTCAAAAGTCTTCTGTAACAATTTGCTAAGGGCTTCTTGACATTCTAAATATGGCTCAAAATAGGTGCAAAATATTTCTAATGTTGAAACAACTCAATGTCCCTTGATAATATTTACCTGGTGTTTGTAGGCTACTTTTCCATTTAGTAAATCTTAAAAAAAATGTGTGTGTAGGGGGGTAGGGGATTAACATGTGCCCCCAAAGGAGTTAGGCCACCAGTGTGCTAGGCCAAGACAGGTTGGGGTGAGTCTCTAAGAGAGAAGAATTGTAGAGGTACAGGGCATAGAAAAGTATCGTTATCAAGCCAAGATACAAACTGGGATTAACTGGGCATTCTCTGGGACATGGAACATAGCATGATTGCCTTTCTTGGTTTAAGATGAGTTTAAGATGTCCTATCTGTAAGATTGGCCAAGGACATCGAGGATGTTTTTCCTAAGCTATGTTTTATACTCTCTTAATTAAAAAAACAAACAAACAAATTTAGGTATTTGAATGCTTGTATTTGCACAATTTCAATGTGTTAGTTTTAAAGTTTCATAATCGTTTTTTTCTTGCAATAGAAATCTGTTTCTATGTGGCTGAGTTGACTTTGACTCATGGAAAGAGCAATCACATTAACTGCGAGAGCCCCCCGAGGGCCAGGATCTGGGCTGTTTTGTTCATGCTCTAGTCCCCAGGTGGTGGCATGGTTCCTGGCATACTCAGTGGGTCCCCAGCATTTAATTATTCATCCAGCCACCAAATCTTTATCTAAATGATGAATGACCATGATCACTGAGTAGAAAAAGAGAAAACAGCTCAACATTTTTTATGTCTTCAGTATCTTTGAATCAGTACAGAGGGCTAGGGGTGTCTCCATCCTGGGAATCTTTATAGACAGAGAAGTCTCTAAGAGGGGGCCAGCGTCGTTCCATTTTTCCTTATTAGTGGACTCACTACTTTGGAATGTGGATTTCGCCACGCTCTTTGGTATTTGGAAATAGAAAGAGCCATTCCCTTTCCAGGGAATAAAAAAACCTCCCAGTGCAGCCCTGCTGGGAGGCACTCATCTTCTCCTTGAACTGCTTACCCCTCAGTTGTAAGTAGAGGAGACTCACTTGCAAAGACCCATTGGTCAGCCTGACCTCTTTCCTACTCAGGAGCTGCAGGTACAATCAAAGGGGTCTGGGTGGTGAAAGAAACAGGGCTCAAAATAGCCTTTATATAAAAAAAATAAAACGAACAAACCAGCACTATCTACCATCTGTGCCAGACAGAGCAGATGTGAAATAAATACTTCAGGGACAGGGCGCTGTGAAAACGGAGGCTCTCAAAGCCCAGGCATGCCTCCTGCATCCACTTCTCCACACCCTTCTCCTTGGCCTTCCTGAACCAACACGCGGTTTTCTAGAGGCCTCTGGCAGGCTCCACATGGCTACTATTCCATGAAGATGCTTTGTAGTTTGCCTGCGGTCCTCTCCATTGCTCTCACGTCCCACGTGACAGTTATTGCTTCTTCTTCTTCGAAAAAAAAAGACTGTGCAGTTCCATGAACAATAAGCCATTTTCTCCTTGTCTCCCTAGTCATGAACTCAATAACAACACAAACGTTACAGGTGAAAAGAAAGCTCACGTATGTCTTTCAATGTCCAATTAACGTTGCTCAATGGGAGAACAGTGTATGCTATGCTCTACTATATACAGATAACGTTTTGTTTTGTTTTTCGTCCATGCACTGCGTAACAAGTATCACAACAACATTCCCAAACAGGCACATGAAGGAGGAGCGAATGTTCAGTCATGACTGGAACAGCACTGTGTAAGCCATGGATGCTTTGGAAAAGAAAACCAACAGATGATCCATCCCAGGCAACGGCAACATGGGACACAGATTGATGCGAATGGAAAAGGATGATGTGAGTTTCGAATGGAGTTGTTCTTCCTGTTTGCGGGAGGAGGGGCTGGGGGACCTGGGGAGATAGCTGGGCTGGAACACCAGAAGGGCCTTGCTAATGACAATCCAGAGCTAAAGGGAGAAGTAGTAAAGGATTTTGTGTGTTTCCGGGGATCTAGGCACGACAGTCTTCCTGTACCTGTTGATCAAGGGTGCCAGGCAGCATATCTTTAAATGTCAGATGGCACCTGGAACCATCCCAGCTCCCACGCTTCTTCTCAGAGGCAGCTTCACCTCTGCTCACGGTCCAGAGCTGAGCTGGGGTTGAGTAACATGGTGAAGACGGGCTGCTTCCTTCTTCCGTGCCCATATCCCTTCTGAATCCAAAATAACTTGTAAAGCGTTGGGGGAACGGGAGAGTCATCCTAATGGCTTAAATGTTGACCAAATTCCATTTGCATTTAGATTGGTCATCACCTCCCACAAGAGAAGCAAGAACCCCGATCTTCCCAACAAAACAGAATAGAAGGCAGACACCGACCACCTCCCAACCCTCACTGAAAAGTGGTCAAAACAGAAAACAAAGCAAAGGCTTAAGGATTTAGGAACCTGGAGAGGACACAGCCCTCCGAGGCCGAGCTGCCCCCGCCTCCACGCCTTGTTCCATGTGACGATGCCCCTGGGAATGGGAGGTGATGGTTTCTCACTTCAGCCCTAGTCAGTATGCTCTTGAAGCTGGATTCCATCAGCAGGTAAGAGAACATGACAAATGTCAGTTTCCTCTGTTCATTGTACATATTTTTTATGTATATATGTATATATATATTTATAAATTTACTATAACTGATTGTTCCTTCAGAAGCCTTTTATGTGGCAGTAGGCCTCCAGGGAGGAGAAGAAAATGTACAAGAGCCACAGGAGCACAAAGAGGGATGACGTGAGGAGCTTGGCAGTCCGGGGCCCACCCAGCTCACCTCCGATCTCCGGCCTCCGCCGATACAGCAGCACCCCCACATTGATGAAAGCAAAAATGGTGAAGAGAGTGACGGAGAAAGCCAGCGTGCCGGGGGACACTTTGAACTGTTCCCCATTGGCCGCGTGGTAGATGGCTGCGATGGACCAGGCCACGCCGATTCCCAGGAAGACATTGACCGCGTTGCTGCCGGTGACGTTACCGATGGATGCGTCTGCGTACTGGTCCTGGGTAGCTGCCACTTTGCTTGCAAAGGTGTCTGTAGAGGGAGAACAGAGAGGCAATGACACTCAGCCTTTTTAAGGCGTCTGTGGAGTGCGGGAAGCTTCGGCTGCGTACTCTAAAATCAACCCCCCTTGGCAACCGGGCTGTGATCTTCTCTGGAGGCCCCGTGGTGTGGACAGAACAGGATCCAGGACTCAAGGATGCAGTGCCAGGTGAGCTTGGTCAAGTTCTTGACCACAGATGCCACAGCTCGTTGTGATACTGAACTTACAGGGCAGCATTTCTCAGCACGGTCATGGCCCAGGTTCTAGGTCACTCAAGTTTTAAAACGGCTGCTCAAGGTATTACTAAAAGGTACTTTATTGTTAGCTCTAGTTTACAGATGAGAAAGTTAAGGGTTCAGGAGATATTTGTAAAGGTTCAAGAGAAAGTTACTGAAACAACAAATAATAATGATGGCTGGCATTTACCCAGAGCCTTGTGAATACAGGAGCAAACTCTATTTTACTGCATTGATATTGATAATTCTATGGGTGGAGGAAACTTTATACGTGAGGATGCTAGGCTTAGAGATGCTCAATTTCTTTTCTAGACGATTGCCGACTTACTGATATCAAAGTCCTTTCAGCTACCTTTGCAAAATACCTTGCACACACACTAGTTTTATAGTAGACTAGAGGCCCGATGCACGAAATTCATGCAAGAACAGGTCTTCCCCGCCCCCCCACCCCAGTGGCCGGCTCTGGCTTCCCTCTGGCACCAGGGACCCGGGCTTCCCTTGCCGCCTCAGCTTCATCCAGACAATATCCGGAAGGATGTCTGAAAGGACGTCCTGTATAATTAGTGTATTATGTTTTTTATTATTATAGATGTTAACTGTCAAATTGAATTCAGATTTTCAAAGCCAGCCATGGAAGGTGTGACATTACCACAAGGGATCTCTGGTCCTCTTGAGATCCCAGTGTGCTCTGAGCAAGTAGTTGTGTGATCTCTGGGCTACTTTCTCTCCTTGATGGCTATTCTCTTGCCACCATCCTTCAGTAAATCTCCAAATGGGGATGACACATGGAGCATCTAAGTTCAGATCAGCCTGTAGACTCTTGTGCTTTCCAAAGAGCGGGAAGGTCATTGAGGCTGCTGGAAGTGCAGTGTCACATTCTCTCTAAAAGGAAACTGGTTGGCCTGGGGGCTCATCTCACCGACTGGGACCCGTTTGTGATGGAAAGCAAGTTCCAATTGCTATTTTGCAAAGAAGCAAGTTCTCTGTGCTTATATGCATATTATATGTTTATTCTCATTCAAAACCTCCTAGTCCAGTGGTTGGCAAATGCATTAGTCAACAGAGCCAAATATCAACTGTACAATGATTGAAATTTCTTTTGAGAGCCAAATCTTTTAAACTTAAACTTCTTCTAATTCCACTTCTTCAAAATAGGCCCAGGCCTTGGTATTTTATGAAAGGGCCACACTCAAGGGGCCAAAGAGCCCCATGTGGCTCTCGAGCTGCAGTTTGCAGAACGGTCCTAGTCTATGGAATGGATGTTGGTATTCCTTATTTACATTTTGAGAAATGCCACTGAACTGGATGTTGGTCAATAGAACAAAGGTTTTTAAGACAAATCTGTTTGATTTCAGAGCCCAGTCTCTCCACGCCACACCCCCCTCTGGGGAGTCTAAATTCTTCGCTTGGTCTTTTTCACTGATGAACTTGGAAACAGGTTCTCACAAATTGTCCTCTCCTCTGCTAGGGAATGAAGAAGGTGGGGCAGGCTGCTACCCCCCTGCAGGTATTTGCTGCTTTGTATTCAGATCCCAGCTGCAGCCCCACCAGGACCACTGCGGAGGCCAGTGAGTGGAAGCCAAGCCAGGCTCTCCAGCACTCACTCTGCAGAGTTATCAGAGCTGCTTCAGGTGAAGTTGTTCTGATTTTTTTTCTTGTTCAAGGATAGATAGCTGAGCAAGGAAAGTAAGGGAACAGAGGCCAAGGCGGGAGAAAGCAGCTTACAGCTCAGCCTCTGCGAAGATACCTGAGATGTTTATTCTGTGCTGATGTGGTGAACAGATGGCACCTTAGGGTGGGGGCATTCCCTCCCATGCTGCAGGGGTAGGCGACCTGGCACTTCCACAGCACACACCTGCTTAGGCCCGCGGTGCATGGCACTCCTCTCTACGCAGACACCTTAGCTTCCTGAGTGCCAATGCCAGAAGGGCATGAGGTATAGAATGAAAGGTTGCTGGGTCCTTAAACACCCACACCAGCCATTTTCCCTGCAATGGAGGACCCGCTTGGGCCTGTAGAGGGTTTCTCTCCCTCAAGCCATTTTTCAATAGCTTATTGTGAATATCACATGAGAATTCTTGTGATAATACTTTCCTGCTTGCAAATGCCTTTCTCTGGATTCCCTAAAAGGTCAGTAGCCAAAGTGACTACCTTGAAACATACATAAAACAAATTTGGAACCTCTTTTTATAAAACCAGTCCGGCTGGTTTTATTTTCCTATGTCTTATTTTATTTACACATCAGGACTTTTATCTGTTTTCAGTTCAAAAGCCATGCAAAAAAAAAAGAAATAAGAAATACATGCCAATGCAAACCATTAACTTTAGCTCCACCACAGACAACTTTGTTTTCCAAATGAAGTATAATGAAATCTCCCCAAATTACCACCTATCCCTGCTTAGTGCATAGAGGAACCCATCACACACCATATGCTGGGGACTGCCCTGAATGCTAGGCCCATAGTTGCTTATGGCTGAACAAGGCAAACACCATTCCCCAAAGTAAAACCTGAGAAATAACTGCTGCCATGGTTTCAGAGGGGTTGTGATATTTTGAATTAGGCCTATTAAATATAAACATGTATAAATCGGATTTCCACAAACTAAGTTGTGTGTGTGTATCCCAAAAAACACACTTTAAATAATTGTAAAGGTAGTGATATTTGAAAATGAAATGTATTTAATTGTGCTGTTAGTGTATATATTTCTTGCAAGTATGCTCCAGGCCAGATTTCTAATTTTTGCTTTTAACTGCCATTTTGAATTCTAATCAATTTTAGATTAGTTGCATAGTCCTGCTTCCTTTGTACCCATGACTACAAATCAAGAGCAGGGAAGATATGTTTGGGAGGCAGTATAGTTGGAATTAAACAATATATCATTTCACAGAGTCAGGAGAGAACAACTGTTCTCTGTAGACCTGTCTCAAGTTCACTATCTATAATCTTGGCCAAATCATCTGGTTGGTATGCAGGAATATGTCAACACGCTTTTTTTTTCCTCCAGAAAAAAAAATTACCTGAATTCCTCAAACTCTATAGCTACATATAGACAAAGCCTTAAACACCTTATAGTCCTGCAGGTGACACATTTATGGATTATCTAGAGCAAGGGTTTCACCCCAAATGATTTATTCTTGACTCTTAGCTGTTAATTCTCAAGTTATTTGTGCTCAGGAACCCATGGACTGACTTTACCTGATGGAGGCATGCTCGCCTCTCCCAGCCTCAGTGATTACTGACTGTGAGAGACAGAGTAGAGGATACAGAGCTTCATGGTGCAGTAGTGAGAAGGCTCATCAAGGAGACACTCTTAACTCTTCTAACTATGGTATTTGTATGTTCTTGGGCAAGACACTTCACTTGTTTAGGTTCTGGTTTCCACATCTGGTATTTAGACCAGAACATCTGTCAGATTTTCCATAGCTTTACTGTTTTTTTTCTGTAACTTGTGCAGTACCCAAACTCGATTCACAAGTATGATCTGGGTGTGGGAGTTTGTCCATGACAATCTTGCTTCATTAGAATGGACTAATGCTAATATCTTCTCCTTTTAAAAAAATAAATGACCTAAATGAAATATTTGAAGATCCTAGGAAGAAAGTTCTCTAGACCTGAAGATGCTGAATTTGTTGCAGTATTAGGACATTAAACAAAGCACAGAGCCAAGTACCCTTTAAAAATAGGTAAGAAATGTTGGCAAAATTATTTACTTCAAACCTATTGGCTAGCCATCCAATGGAATAAATGATAGCAGCGATGACCATGTTTCAAACACTGTGTGTAATGCCAATTAAGTTAGCATTGGAAATACTGGCAGAGCCTAGCTGAAAAAATGATTTGGGGTTCTATCCTCAATCAGACTCTCTGCATATCCCTGTATCTTTTTCCTAATTTTAACTTGTGACTCTAGGTTCTTATTTACATGTAGGTTTGAGGACCAAGTTCTATGGCAAACATGTTAAACTCGTGGCCTGCAGGCCATATGTCTTGTTTATTTGGCCCGTGTTAGCTTTTGAGTTTGACATGCTTGCTCAGTGGTTCTCAACCTTTCTAATGCCGCGATCCTTTAATACAGTTCCTCATGTTGTGGTGACCCCCAATCATAAAATTATTTTTGTTGCTACTTCATAACTAATTTTGCTACTGTTATGAATCGTGATGTAAATATGTGTTTTTCGATGGCATAGGCTCTTCAGCAGTGGTTCTCAACATGTAGGTCGCTACAATATTTCAGTTATGAAGTAGCAACGAAAATAATTTTATTGAGGAATGTATTAAAGGGTCACGGCATTAGAAAGGTTGAGGACCATTGCGGAGTCTAAGGCATGGAAATAGAGGCTATGCTCCAACAGCCCACAGTTTTTTGGGGGGAGCCTTTCTGAGAGGAATAGATCTTTGAGTCCCAGGGAAACAGCTAACTGGGGAGAGGTAAGAAGCAGCTGATTTCTCTGGGAGAGAGTGCGATGCCTTCAGATAGAGTAGTCATTTGCTCATAAAACAACCTGGGTGGGCTTGGTGTAGGGGCTAGGACTGCTTAGCTCTAAAGTCTTTCCACTCAAGCTATGCTTACTTATTTTTTTTTTAAACCCTGTTCCAGCATGCTTACTATGAAAGGCCAAGGGAGGAGGAACAATAAATTAGCTGCCAGGTAAGCAGCTTACCTACTTTATAAGGTTTGGAAGGAAATGAGTGAAGAACCGCACTCAGAATAGTGCTGCCACTTACTGAGTGCTCAATATTATTTGCTATTTT